TCTATACACCAATATTTGGATAAAGCCAGAAAGAATATCCACAAAAAAAAAAAGTCTCTTTTGTGGTGCTGGGAGACATGCAACATGCAAAAGAACACTAGACCACTTTTCATCTACAAAAAAATAAACTCAAAATGGATAAAGGGACCTGAATGTGAGACAGGAAAACCGCCAAAACCCTAGAGGAGAAAGCAGAAAACTCTGACCTCAGCCGAAGCAATTTTACTTGACCCATCTCCAAAGGGAATTAAAAGCAGTATGAACTATTGGGACCATGAAGATAAAAGCTTCTTGCACTGCAAAGGAAACAATCAACAAACTAAAAGGCAACCGACGGGAAGTATTTGCAATGACATATCAGACAAAGGGTTATATCCAAAATCTGTAAAGAACTCACCAAACTCCACACACTAAAAAAACAAATAACCCATTGAAGAAATGGGCAGAAAACGTGAGTAGACACTTCTCTAAAGAAGACATCTAGATGGCCAATAGGGGCACATGAAAAGATGCTCAATGTCATCAGGGAAATACAAATCAAAACCACACTGAGATACCACTCAAATGAGTGGCTAAAATGAACAGCAGGAGACACAGATGCTGGTGAGGATGGAGAAACGAGAAACCCTTCTTGCACTGTTGGGAATGCAAACTGAAAGTACCTCTGGAAAACAGTGGAGGTTCCTTAAAAATTAAAAATAGATTCATCTTATGACCCAGCAATAGCACTGCTAGGGAATTCACTAAGGATACAGAAAGTGTTGATGGATCGGGGCACTTGTACCCTAATGACAGCAGCACTTTCTATAATAGCCTAATTCAGGAAAGAGCCTAAAATGTCCATCAACTGATGAATGGATGTAGGTTTATATGCACAATGGAATACTACTTTGCAAATGAGAAAGAATGAAATAAAAATTTTGTAGCAACATGGATGAACTGAGAGTGCTAAGTTAAGTGAAATAAGTCATACAGAGAAAGACAGATACCATATGTTTCACTCTATGTGATCCGAGAAACTGCACAGAAGACCGTGGGGGGAGGGAAGGAAAAAAAAGAGAAGGAGAGAGCCACAAACCATAAAGACTCTTAAAACTGAGAATAAACTAGGCTAGTTGATGGGGAGTGGGAGGAGGGGAGGTGGGTGGTCTTCGAGGAGGTCACCATGGGATAAGCCCTGGGTGTTGTATGGAAACCAATTTGACAATAAATTTCATATTTAAAAAATAAAATAAAAATAAATAAGATTTTATACTAAAGAATATAACTTTATATTAGTCACATGCAACAAACATATACTTGCCCATGTGCAACAAAACATGTATACCGGCACAAATAGTACCATTATCCAAAATTATTCATTTTTTATAAGAATCACACAAATGCTGACAACAGATAGGCTATATGTTTGGAATTAAGTTTCCACATCAGATGTTTCACAGTATAATCCTTGTGAGTCTATTATTATATTAAAGTTACTTACAGTTTCATAATCATACCAAGTAGCATTAGGGATATATGCACTCACTGTATCTGCTCCCTAAAATAAAACAAGATAATTTATATGTTTTTCATTTGTTTACTTTTATCAGAAAAGTATTATACCCAATATTTCTATGTTTTTCATTTGTTTACTTTAATTTGTTTACTTTTATCAGAAAAGTATTATACCAAATATTAAGTTGGGTTTTATTTTTTTTATTTAAAAAACAATTTTTTAAGGTGTATTTATTATTGAAAGACAGACACAGCTTGAGCAGGGGCGGGGTAGAGAGAGGGGGAGACACAGAATCAGACATAGGCCTAGGCTCTGAGCTGTCAGCACAGAGCCCAACGCGGGGCTCAAAGTCACAAACTGCGAAATCATGACATGGGCTGAAGTCGGTCGCTTAACCAACTGAGCCACCCAGGTGCCCCTAAGTTGGGTTTTAATAGTCAAGAAAAAAACTTCCTTCGTATTGTTACATTCCCATATTTGTTATAAATAATAATCAACAGACTCTTTTATTAGTTTTATATAATATAATAATTTAAAACACACCAAAAGCAAAGTTGAAATTAAGTAGCAATTGAAAAAAACAATGCACACTTGCATTTGTACTGTCATAATCTACATGGTAATTGCAAATGTGTACACATTAATTTTTGTATATTTCCATGGGCATATAGACTTTTAAATGATAGATAAAACCAAATATCTCACTCCACTACATTTTCAATATGGTCATATGATCAGCTGACTTTCAAGAACCTCTTTATCTAAAAGTTAGCAAAAGGGGCGCCTGGGTGGCGCAGTCGGTTAAGCGTCCGACTTCAGCCAGGTCACGATCTCGCGCTCCGTGAGTTCGAGCCCCGCGTCAGGCTCTGGGCTGATGGCTCAGAACCTGGAGCCTGTTTCCGATTCTGTGTCTCCCTCTCTCTCTGCCCCTCCCCCGTTCATGCTCTGTCTCTCTCTGTCCCAAAAATAATAAACGTTAAAAAAAAAATTAAAAAAAAAAATAAATAAATAAAAAATAAATAAATAAATAAAAGTTAGCAAAATTTCAATGTCTATGTATAGTTAAATGAGAGTTCATTGTTATTGCTATGGATTTGATTTTGATTCCATAAATAAAGTTGTCTTCTTAAGAAGAATACTAATTTTATATAATTTTATTTCCACAGTTACACATTATATATTTGAAAAGCATAAATCTACTTATTTTTATTATTTTTAGCATTTCTTCTACATTTTAGAATTCAATTCAACATTTATCAGGTTGAATCAGTCTACTGAGTAACATTTATTACCAAGTTATGGTTTTTGTTTTTTATAATTTAGTGTGGATTTGGTTATAAAGTTTTCCTTTAAAAGCAATAAATGTATTAGAGTTGTAAAACTTACCTCTTTCAAGACTGGAGTAATAAGTAATGAGGGGCCCCATAAGAATTGAGTGTCCTCAGTCCAGGTATTCATATCTTCATAAAACCTAAGAATAATGACAATTTGCTACATAATGCCATGTTTACAATATAAAGGTAAAGAAATAAGTTTATCCATATTCCTTCTTGGGTTTATCATTTCAGTCTTTTCCCGGGAATTATTATTAGCTTTAATTTTTACTCGTTTGACCTGTCATTTTGAATCTATGGTTCTTATATCTTTATGGTTCATCTGACACTCAAGAAAGAAGGAAGGAAGGGAGGAAGGAAGGAAGGAAGGAAGGAAGGAAGGAAGGAAGGAAGGAAGGAAGGAAGGAAGGAAGGGAGAGGGGGAAGAAAGGAGGGAAGGTGGGAGGAAATTAGTTCATCTGGGCTCAAAAAAATCTATGATACATGATAAGGTTATCTGTTATCTGTAATAAACAACTATTCTGTTTAATTCATTTTCCCCTCTAAGATAGGTTTGTAAAGTACCAGAAATCTTTCATACACGACTTTCTTCCTTTAAAATTTTTCGTTAAAAAATTCCTGTTTTGATATGGATTCTAAAGTCATTTCTTGAGGAAAGGTCCTGCTTTGCTCAAAATATACAAAGGCAAACACAATTCATTGCTCTGTGACTATACTGTACTCTTGATCTATATACTCAGATGATTTTGACAATACATAATAAGTTTTCAATAACTGCATATTTAATATTACTAATATAATTTACCCAATATATTTTCTATATATTTTTTCTTTTAAGATCTATTTAATTCCTACATTTCTAACTTAATCTTGTCCAATTCATTAAATTAACCATATTTATTTACTAATGTTATTCCACAGTTCATCAAATGATTTATATAAATATAAAAAAAAGCAGAAATCCATTTGACATCTTGATTAATCTCCATTAATTTTTCAATATATGTCTCATATAATTTGAAAAAATTAAAATTCTTGAACGTAGTACTCACTCATGAAGAACTGGCCGTGCTACTGTTTCTCCAAACTTATGGGCTTTGTAAAATAGAGTATATAGGAAAGGTAATAAGGTATAGCGAATATTCAAATAGTGCCTTGATGAATTAACCAAAAGAGAATTCTGTCCAAAAAATGCTGGATACTGATGCTATGGAATAAAAAGGAAATTGACATTAAAAACGCTAAAATGTAAATGAAAATTAAAGAGAAGCATTTAAGCTATTTTTGAAATGCAAATTATATACATTTTAGTTTGTGTATGAAAATTTGAAATTGTTCCTCTTTCATCATCAAAGTATATAAGTATTTTTAGTTTTTATATTTTTATTTGGATATGTTTTAATTAAACTTTGTTTTAAACTGGGCATTTTTCATTTTTATATATTAGAGATGAAAAGATATTTTAACGAAGAATTTTCACCTATATTATTTGTGGTAGACTGCATTATTGGCTCCAATTTTCATGCTTCCTGTACCTCCAACCTTTGCTGTATAACTCTGAAATCCCTACCAATAAAATGGAGTGTATTTCCCATCAACTGCACTTGACTTTGTGCTCAGCTAAGTGACATACTTTGGCCAATGGAGTTTTAGTAACATGCGACCCATTCATGTAAAGGCTTGAAATGTGCTTGCCTGCGGACTTACTGCCTTGTGCCTTGTCCTTGCCATTAGGAAAAAAAGCCCAGGTAGTCTACTGGCCCAGAGATACAGGGAACAGAGCAGCTTGGCCAGCTCTTGTAGCTGAAGGACAGCTTGTAACCTGAAGGACAGCTTTCCTGCTAAGCCCACGCTAGATCAGTGGACTCTCTTAGTCTAGGTGCAGTGATATGAGCAAACCTGCTTAGATCTCCTGTTATGGGTAGCAAAATTATACTGAGGGCACCAGCTGCTGCCTCCCTTGATTCACCATCATGTTTACTCTGAAGACATTTCCCTTTGGCTGCTCCCAGCTAATCAATGAGCATGGTGGGAGTACTATTCAGGCCCATTCATAGAAAACACAGGACATTTCCAAGGTCATCTTTGCACTGAGGACTCACCACTGCGCTGAGTGGAAACTTCCTTAGAATTGGGCTGCAGTGTGTGACTCTCTTTAAAAACCCGCTTTCCTTGCCTTCATCGTCACCAGATTCAGACCCCAATTGTGATGTGAAGGCTCTCTCTCTTTATTTTCTCCTCTCCCTCCCCTTTATCCTTCACAAGTTTTTCACTAATAAATCTCTATCATGTCTGTCTCAGCATCTGCTTTTTGGGGTCAGAAATTAACACACAGTGTAATATAATTCATATCAGTATTCCCCATGAGCACAAATTTCTTGAAAGCATGTCTCAGAAGATTAGGTAATGACTAATCTCCAATTTATACCTCTTACTTTTGTTCTGTCATGCCTTCTTCCAGGCTGAGCTCTGAGTGGTTGTCCCTCTTCTCAAACAGAATTAAGGCCCTATGTGTAACTAGTGGGTAAACAATGAATCATTTCTTAACATGCACTTAACTGACTTAATGGTCTCACCTAATTTTCCCAGTTTCTCTGAGAAATATGTTTCTGAGAGCCCAGAGCATGCTGAATTCACAGGGCTGGTACTTCAGTATGTCCTTATATATCAACTCCCACCAGTTCAGATACATACGGTAAATGTTAGTTTTATTTTTTCCCAAGCTGTCATTCCAGTTTTACTTATTATGGAAAGACTCTGGACTCAAACTACTTTTACAGTGTCTTGAACTTTTTGTGTTTCTTTAATGAAACAAAAACTGTAAATCCTTAATATTACCTTGTATTTTTTATGAAAGAAAAATTACCTGGAATTTACATTGTTGGAATCCAAGAATCTAGACTCAAAACCCTTTGGCTTTAATTTTAAGTATTAAGTTATTTTAAGTTAAAGTGATCTAATTTCCTTGTATATGCTTTATGCTTAAATAAGGTATTTATGTTGTGACCCCATTACATTTCACGATTCCTTTATTTGACCATTTTTTAAATATACAAAATATTTGGGGCGCCTGGGTGGCGCAGTCGGTTAAGCGTCCGACTTCAGCCAGGTCACGATCTCGCGGTCCGTGAGTTCGAGCCCCGCGTCAGGCTCTGGGCTGATGGCTCGGAGCCTGGAGCCGGTTTCCGATTCTGTGTCTCCCTCTCTCTCTGCCCCTCCCCCGTTCATGCTCTGTCTCTCTCTGTCTCAAAAATAAATAAACGTTGAAAAAAAAAAATTTTTAAAAATAAATATACAAAATATTTATAGGCCTTGAGAAGGGAACTTCTAACTCCTCTTTAAAAATTATGCTACAAACTTTCAGCCCCTTTCTTCTACAGATATAAATTTAAGTACATTGCTAAAACTAGAATAAGGTTTTATTTCAAAACATGGAGAAGAAAAGGAATTTACCTCATATATATCACCATTATGGTTCCTGGAAAATGGATAAAAGGCCCCAAGTTGCATCCACCTCCTGCAAAGCTCTTCTGTGGTATTAACCACAAATCCACAGATGTCCGCTCCAACCTAAATAACAAATATATCTATCATTCATAGTGTAAAGAGTCTCAAATTTGCCTAGGGCATCACATTTTATGCCCCAACAGATTAACCTGCATTACTTACAATCTTTATTTTACTGTCTTCATATATTCTTCCTTAACTTAGTTTTTTATTTTCCATTTTTGCTATTTATTTGCCTCTAATTGCATCATTTTACACTTTTTTTCACTCTTTATACACTATTAGTCTCATGTATTTATTTTCTCCTTTGATCTAATCATTGTTAATCTATAGTGTGAATTTATATTATTTTTTTTTAAATTTTTTTTTCAACGTTTTTTATTTATTTTTGGGACAGAGAGAGACAGAGCATGAACGGGGGAGGGGCAGAGAGAGAGGGAGACACAGAATCGGAAACAGGCTCCGAGCCATCAGTCCAGAGCCTGACGCGGGGCTCGAACTCACGGACCGCGAGATCGTGACCTGGCCGAAGTCGGACGCTTAACCGACTGCGCCACCCAGGCGCCCCGAATTTATATTATTAAAATGTGTTGTTTCTTAATCCAAAACTCCCCTCCCATGATCTGATTTTTTCCATTTATAATATATTACTGTAATATTAAAATAGTAAAAAAAAATGGTGTCTAACATGTAGCCATTAAAATTTCATTTCTCTTCCTTTAAGGACCCTCCAGGAAAAACTCTTATCCTTAATTTAGTATGTTTACATTTATTTAAATGTTTACAGCCATTTCTTTATTTTTCTAAATAGTATGTAAATATCCATAAACAAAATATAGTATTTTTTGCATGTTTATTAACTTTATATAAATGGCAGACTGTACGAATGACATTGCATTTCATTTTTTTCTCAAGGTACTATTGTTGTGAGACTCACTTACGTTAATGTGGCTCTAGTTTTCTATCATATGGGATCTCATGACTATGAAAAATGTTCCTATCAAACTTATTTGTAGGCTTTTTTGTGAGTAATATTCTATGGAAATATATACACACACACACACACACACACACACACACACACACACACACACATATTTACCTTTACTCTATGGTATTATATATACGTTTATATATACAGATATTTTCAAGATTATTTCTCTGGTTTATTGGAAATGCACATTGTTTAATCAAAACCAGCTGTAACCATTAGTAAGCACATTCACAGTACATGAAAATTTCCTTTGTTCCATTTCTTGTCAATTCCTGTTATATTTCGACTTTTAATTTTTGCCACCTATATATACGATATGTATACCTCACTAAAATTTTAACTTGTATTTCTCTGATTACTATGGAAGTTGGGAACTTTTTCATATTCTTACTGATCCATATTGGTTTCTCTTCCTACAGAATTACCTGTTTACAACCTTTGCTAATTTTTCCATTGTTTTACCTTCTACAAATTTACAGTAGGTAGTTTAAATTGAGTATTAGTCATTTATTGACTATATGAATTGAAAATGTCATTTTAACTTTTAAAATAGTCTTTTAATGAACAAAAGTTTTTATTTTGTTACAGTAAAATTTATATTTCTTTATTATTTGTGCCTTCTGTGATTTGTTTAGGAAATTATACCTCTAACCCAACATCACAGAGTTACTCATATGTTTTTCTAATATGTTTAAAGTTTACTTTTCTTTTTAAAAAAAATTTTTTTTAACATTTATTTATTTTTGAGACAGAGAGAGACAGAGCATGAACGGGGGAGGGTCAGAGAGAGAGGGAGGCACAGAATCGGAAGCAGGCTCCAGGCTCTGAGCCATCAGCCCAGAGCCTGACGCGGGGCTCGAACTCACGGACCGCGAGATCGTGACCTGAGCTGAAGTCGGACACTTAACCAACTGAGCCACCCAGGCGCCTCTAAAGTTTACTTTTCATACATAGCTCTTTAATCTATCTGGGATTGATTTTTGTGTGAAGTGTAAGTCATGGACCCATTTTATTTTATTATGAATAAATGATACTTCACATATGAATATTTGATACTTTCCTCACTGATTTATAATGATAGTGCAATCAGTTAATGCATTTCATTAATGCATGAGCCTATTCCATATTATGCCATATTATTCTCTTTGAATATACAGAGTCAAGAATTGTGCTATATTACTGTTTTATTGGATAGGGTGAATCCTTGTGCTCTTTTCTACTTCTTTACATTGTATTGTCTCCCACATGAAGTTTAAATAATCTTTTATGTTCCCCAAACTCACTTTATAGTTTAAATTGGAATATCACTAATGATGGATAGTAGTTTGGGGAGAATGTATATTTCTAATATATTAAGCTTTATTATCTATGAACATGGCATGTATTTAATTTAGCTACTTAAAATGTTCTCAAAACTATCCTACATTTACTTTTAATATTTACTCCTGGTAACTGTGTATTAATTACTTGCTATAATAAATTAACACTTTATCTTAAAATACATTGTAACATTGCTTATTTCTTTCAACCTTTTTTAGACAAAATTTGCCAAAAATCTATTTTATTCAAATTTCCAAAGTCATCTTTGTAATTTCATTTTATTAATTTTTCTCTAGAAACTTTGCTTCCCTGCATTAATGTCTTCTCTTATTTTCATTCCTTACTTCTTTCTTTAAGTTTATTCTACTTTGTTTTTTCCATTTTCTTAATTAATGCACTTTACTTATTAATATTCAGCCTTTTTTGTTTTTAATCTAAGCAGTTAAGGCTGTAAGTTTTCCTCTAAAACAAATTTAGTTGACAACTTATAGTTTTGATATTAAGTATAATTGCTAGCACTCAGTTCTAAGGATTTATTCCCCCCCTCTGTTTCCATTCAGTTTGTTTTTTCACTCATGAATCATTTTAAAATGCGTTTTTTAATTTCCCAAGTCAAGACTCTTGAGTGTGTGTGTGTGTGTGTGTGTGTGTGTGTGTGTGTGTGTGTGTACGCGCGCGCGCACGCACGTGTGTGATTTTTGTTGTTATTTGGTTGGGTTTTTTTTTAATATGAAATTTATTGTCAAATTGGTTTCCATACAACACCCAGTGCTCATCTCAACAGGTGCCCTCCTCAGTACCCATCACCCACCCACCCCTCCCTACCACCGCCCATCAACCCTCAGATTGTTGTCAGTTTTTAAGAGTCTCTTATGGTTTGGCTCCCTCCCTCTCTAACTTTTTTTTTTTTCCTTCCCCTCCCCCATGGTCTTCTGTCACGTTTCTCAGGTTTTCATTTTGTTTTGTGCATATGAAAGAAAGAACAAATGAACTACTATAATTTCCTAACACATTTTACATTATTTTTTTATGTAGTGGCTCTCTTTAATGTTCAATTATCAACACTGCATACATTTTTTATTTGATATAGAGACTGATTAGATTCTAAATATCCAGAGTTGCCTGGAACAAATTTTCTCTGCTTTTAAAATTTGAGACTTCTCTCTGTCTTTATTTTTTGTCTTTTATTTTTTTCCTTTAAATACAGGAAACAGCTTTATTGGTTTTTATCTTAAACTGACAATCTAGTATTTAAAGATATTTAGACTTTTGACATTTATCTTTATTACCACTATATTTGGATTTTTCCCAACCATCTTATCTGGGGCTTTATTTACTTTATAAAAGCTTTTCCTTTGCTTTGTTTATATTGATATTTGTTTCATGTATTATTTTGAGTTCCTTGAATTTTATTTATTCCTATTTCTCATTCTAATGGCTAGAATGTTATAGATACCACCTATATTCTTTTTTTTTCATAAATTCCCTAAGAATAAAGATTGGATTTTTCTGTAACATACATTTAATCATTTTATTGAAGATTATTAAGATCACATTACAAAATTAAAAGTCATGCACAGCTAATATAAATGACACTGTATGAAATTGCTTACCAATGGCATTCCAAATAAATTGAACTCTAGCATTCCTGTGATAGACCATTCCATTTGCTCCCATGAAGCAGTGTTGTCCCCTAACCAGTGTGCAGCATAGCTTCCAGACCCAGCAAAAGTTGAGCGGGTGAGAATGAAGCTTCTCTTATTAGGGAAAACTTTCTCTATGGCTCTAAAAGTAAAAGCAAATGAATAAATCAGATTTATTTTTAAATAACTTTTTATTGACCTTTTGTACCAATTTTGTATTTATCTACCAATGTTTACTTAAAAACATTCCAATCAGGGAAAGGAAATCAGACTTTGATTTCTTTTACCAAATTAAATAAACATACTTTTTGTATCCACTCAACACTTGTTTTTAAAATATATGGTTTAAACTCACTGAAATCCTTTTTTAACCTGAAATGTCGTAATCTGAACTTGAACTGTCTACAAAGTTTTGAGATGCAATGATGCTAATGATATATTAATGTCTGTATTTTCAAATATTAGCACACAATGTTGGGATGAAAGTTACATATTTGAGAGGCATTTTATTTTGTTTGTATCTAAAAGTTTACTATCCACAACTACTAGCATTATTTATCTCACCTCTATTTGGTACCTGAGTATTATTGATAATTTTTTTCTATAAATAGGAAATATTCAGGAAAGATACAAAGTTTGATTTAGTATATAAAATTATCCAGACTACCTTAGTAAAAAGATATAATGGTATTCTCAGGTGGTTTTTCTATATTAATATCTTTATAACATTGAACTATAGTGTTGCTATTTCCTTCTAGAATTTATTTATTTATACACTTCAATATATAAATGCTCTACTGAGTTTAAAAAGTGAAGTAACCAAACTCTGTGAAGATAATGTATAAGAGTTGAGATACCATGGTATGTTTTGGGACTAGACAAATGTAGGTGTGTCTTTAAATTTAATCATATTTATTTAATTCTGAAAAAGATTAAAAAATTATTGAGGTCGGGATCTGGGTTTTATTGACTATTGCACTGTAGGTTCTTATATAATACTTGAGAAAGAATAGGCAATCAGGGTAAGATTATCCCCTTCCTTTGTTTTGTAACTTGTTATTTTTTTGCATCCAAGTACACATGACATTAGAAAGTTACTTTGTGAGATACTACATAGAAAACTACATTTTAATTGAAACCCTTGATTTTAAAAAGACCTACTCTAGAAGCACCACTCTCTCAGGCCAATTGTGTAGTTCATGCTTAGAACATAATTATATTCAGAGATAGCAAAGTGAATCAAAATTTTGAAGCGTACTTTAAATCTATGAATTAAAAAAGGACCACAGTTAAATACATACACCACATAGTTCTTGATGAACTAAGTTCCAAATTCATGAAGATTAGTAGAAGTACTGACACCATGAAAATACTATCTTTCTTTGCTTTCTTACTCTTGCTCTTTTCCAACTATATTAGTGTATTACAACATATTTCTAGACAATAAGTATGAAAGAGGTTTCTGAATGAAACTGCACTTACTTCTCTGTGGCTATAGCCATGCTGTATCCATAGAGGCTGTGAACATCATACTGTTTCCCCCAGTACTGCACAGCATCCATGCAAATTGTTTTGGAATACATGAGTTTGTCAAGAATATCTTAGAAAAAATATGTAAGAAATGTTTCTTAAGAGAGAGTTTCCATTTTAAGCTTCATAATCCTTATGTACACAATATATATGTACACATATATATACCTATTTGTATTATACGTCACACAAATATATATACCCTTTTAACGCTTTCTAGGTTAGTTTATTTAAATATAATTTAATTTTATATATGTACATCTGTTACACAATTACAAACCATCCAAATCCCTGCTTTTCAGGTTTTTTATTGTGCTTCAACTTACAGGCTTATGTGGTGTTGCAATGATTACTGTCATCTTCAGATGTACTTATTGCTGTCTATTCTCCCCTAAGAGCAAATCTTTCTTTGGTTGTATTTTTTACCCACTTTTAATGGTGAAAAACTTATTTTTTAGAATATGTGACATGTAACTATTCCCATTAGGTTCATTCTAAAAACTGCACAAATTACTGCATAAGGCTCGTGGAAAGAAGTTGATCATTTAAATTATAATTTCAAACAAATTGTGTTTCTTTTCATTAATTATTTGATCATGGGCAGTTTATCAGTAATAAAGAGAAATCAATAATCTTTCCCAAAATTTAAAATCATTCTTCTTTTCTTAAGCATAAAAATTTTAGCCCAAAAGTAACACAAAAACAGACAAAAACACATTGATTTCAGGGACTCAAAATTTTATCAAGGTTTGTGATATAGAAATATATGCTAGAATTTACCAGGAAAATTATTCTTAGTTAATGGTAAGTAAATAACCAAATAAAATTTACCAGGAGTAAAAGGTGGATAATTCAGTTTATTGTCATTGCATCCTTTTTTTGAACCTTGAACAAAACTGGAAACTTCATTCATGTCCTAAATGGATATAACATGAAGAACAGCAGATTTTAAGTGATAACAGAGGTAACTTGTATGGGATTCAGGGATTGTATATAACAAAAATGTATTTAACTTACCTAGTTTTAATTATACCTATAAAATATTAATAACATTATAAGTATTAAGCAACTGTCTTTTCCAAGTAGTTGTATCAATTTTCTCAAGGTGAGTCCACCATTGTGCCACACTTCTGGCACATTCATTTATGCACCATCGTTTGCTCATCTTACCTGACATTTATCTAGTTTCTGTGATGTGCACTGCCAGCCGCGAGGCACAGCATGTTTTGTATAGCCCTTCATTCCTACACTCTCATGAGAGAGTGAAAGTGAAAATAGGTAAATAGCATTTTAGCATTAAATGAAAATAGTTATGACCTTACTTAACCCCTTGAACAGTCTCAGGGAACCCTAGGGCAGCTGGACCACATTATAAGAACCAGTGACCTAAACATCTCTTGGAGGCAGAATTGTGGGGATGTGTTTATAGATTTTTTGCCGTGTAAACGTAAGCCGCGATAGTATCTTGCCACATACTAGTTTGTGATCATTACTTTAAAAAAATAAAGGCTTTGAACTAAAAAGATAATATATATAAAATTATATATCACACTACACATGCTCAAAAAATAATCTATTTCTTTTTCCTTCTCTGTTAATTGCATTGTAGGGCTTCCACACATTTTTGAAGCTTATTTCCCACATGTCTATAATATGCAGTCTCTGCTCTCACAAAGACTTCATACTCGGTCAAGTCCCTTGTTACTATTGTTTTTCTTCAGAAGGAATAAATTTTCTTTATGACTCTTTTTTTCTTCCATACACATCATGCCCAGATGGAATCAATGTGAAACATTAAAGTTGCAAAATAAATTTTTCATCATTAAAAGGTAAATGTTTTCATTTCCCAAATATTTTCTCTTTAAAAAAGTTTTTAATGTTTATTTTATTTCATGTTTTTTTGTTGAGAGAGAGAGAGACAGAGAGACAGAGCATGAGTGGGAGAGGGGCAGAGAGAGGGAGACACAGAATCTGAAGCAGGGTCCAGGCTCTGAGCTGTCAGCACAGAGTCTGATACAGGGCTTGAACTAACTAACGGAACTGAGTCATGACATCATGAGCCTAGATGAAGTTGGACACTTAATCGACTGAGCCACCCAGGCTCCAAATATTTTCTTAATAGCCACAAAGAAGAAAAATTATGTAGTTATTCTACAGTATTGGGGTTACTTTATTGAAATTACCTGGAATATTATATTCAATTTGATTTTCCTATGTCTAGTAAAATTAATACAAAGAGATACTATAGTTGGGCCGCCAATAATTTTAGATGAACCTAAGCACTTTTCTTCATGAATCCATGAACCAAATTAAATTTAAAAACAAATTCAACTGCTGACATTCATAATTGGGAATCAAGTTGCATTATTTTAAATTTTAACTTTTTCTAAACTATTTAGCATCTTATATGTATAATTATTCTTGAGAAAATACAAAGCAAAACATTTAACTATGAAATTTATGTTATTTTATTAGAATTATGTACTTGCAAATTGAAATAAAAATCACAAGTTCTTCCAGCATTTGCTCAAAATAGACATAATTTATGTAACTTAAGAATAAACAAATTTTTAAAGAAATTAATTTATTTCACATGAAAAAATTGATCCAAAATATTTGTTTAATCATTAATATTATACTGTATGTTAACTGGAATTTAAATAAAAATTAAGATAAAATTAATTATTTTATCATGCAACCATGTAAATAAGAGTAAATCAAATGTTTGATTTCACCAGTTCACAATATAAAGGAAAAGAGTCTCTGTACTCCAGAAGATAAATGTATTCATCTATTAGAGGGAAAAAAAACACTTTTACATGATTGTAACCATATTTTACAATAAACACAATATTTGCTATTTGATTATTTATTTTTAAAATATCCTACCTACTTGGAAAGATTTGTTATTAATTAAACATACTACACATAACGTAATAGAATTTATTTGTATCTCTTTTAATGTATTTTGTATATTTGCACTTTTGAAAATTCTGAAAGTATTTTTCTCTAATGTCTATAAATTATTTAAATGATGCTACATGTATTTAGTGTCATTTAAAAATCAACTCAATTAGTATTTTTAATATTACAACCAGCAGGTTGAAAGCAGTGGAAGTCACAAGGCAAAGGCCTCAGTGAATTGATAGTAATAAGTATACCTACAGATATTCAAGTATCATTCAAACCATCCCAAATCGAGTAATGATTATTCTTAGGAATTGTCAATGCCATTTTTAGGGATGTTTCTGAAAGTTCTTTTCTTTAAAATCCATTGAAAATTGTGTACAAAAGTTTGGCAACTTTTTAAAATAAAACATTTTAAAAAAATCTTGGTATTTCATAATTTCATCACTTCATATTTAAACTAAGTCTACATAAAAATAGCCCCATTTTTCAAAGAATTCTAAAAATAATTCACTGAATTTTAAGTCTGTCACTGAATTTTAAGTTTCCTAGAACTATGTATTAAATTGTTGAGCTTTTTTATGGAAAAATTCTGCTTATTAGATTTTTAAGAATGAAATCATAATAACAACACGATCACAACAATATATATATTTGTTCAGAGAAAGTGGAAGTGATCTTTGAATTTTAAAGATACTGACTGGGTACATTTATTTTGAAATTACTGCTTCAGTCTTTATTAAACCAAATGCATTAGTCTCTTATTTCTCAAGTATTAGGAAATTATCTCAAGAATGTTGCAAAAAAGATAATTCAAGTATATTATATGTCTATATACAAAAATCTATTTTTCAATGAAAATTATGCTCATATTGTTTTCCAAAGTGATTTTAATATTTAAAATTAAAATTCAAAAACATTAGCTTGGCATTCAAATTATAAATCTAGGAAATGATGACACTAATTTTAAATCTAACAAAAAAATAAAATGTTTTCAGTTAAATAAGACTACTTTGTTTTATTGTACATTCATTCTATCAGAATAATCTGAAGAAAATGAAAGAATTAAGGAAACAATTTTATCAGTAGGATTTGATAGTTATTCAAGTAAAAGCTGGAAGCAGAATAACCATTGCTTATACATCATATAAATTAATTCAGTGATGTTTAGTGAGCTTTGAAATCATACTGATTATATTGCATTTTGTTTTGTTTTTTAAGCTTAGTTAAATGCTTATGTATTAGGAGGAGAACAACTCCACCTTTCTCAGATGCTCCTCCCCTTCCCTGACCTCCCTCTCTTTGGAGTTGAATCAGGTACTGTATTTGTGTTCAATGGATATAGGAAATGAAGTATTCTCTTTCTACAGCACAGTCAGATTCTCTTTCACTATTCCTAAAGTATCAGTTATACTGTAACTGTGCTCCAATGGACTCAAATTATTTCATTAGCAGAAACAAAAACCCAAACATTTTAACTTAACTAATACAACTGAAATTGGAGCTGGAATTAAAAACAAAACCAAGAATGGAGTGCAAAATTTTTTTGTTATTCCTATAGGCTGCTAGGTATTATTGTGACCTCACTAATTTTGTGTCCAATAACTAAAGCCTCTCCATTTTCATTCTATTCTTAAGAATCCTGAAGAGTATGCTAACCTCTAACTCAGTTCCATGTCGTCAGCTAAAAACATAATTTTCCACTTTGTATTCTCCACAACATACCTGATATACTGATGGTGCAAAATATACACTTAACTAAGTAATTGATTAAATAATCACTGAATAAATAATAAGCACTTCATGAAAGTAGAGCTATTGTGTAACTCAAGAGACAAAGACATGTATGTCCCTAAGACATCCATTATCTCCTTCTAAAATTCTGTGCAGTTGTAATAACTTTGAACAAAATCTCTGATGTTCCTCTGTATTCAAGTTTATTAGACTTCTTTTTTCCCCTGGACATAGAATTCTGGGGTCACCAAGTAGTTTCACTCACCAAATATGGTTGCAGTTTCCATAACAAAAGACACTAAATCATTCTATATGGTAAACCCAGAAATAAGTAATCAATAGCTACAGATACAAAACTTCATCCAAAGAAATTTTCAAACGTTAGCATTTCCCTTTAATAGCTTTACCAATAATCTAGGATTCTGGTTGTTGCTGTTGTTGTTTATCTTGAAATAAAACATTTAACCTATTTCAATTTTGATTTGTTTTATTCCATAATTTACTAAAAAGAAAGTTTCTAGGGGTGCCTGGGTGGCTCAGTTGATTGAGCGTCCAACTGTTGATTTCAACTCAGGTCATGATCTCACGGTTCCTGTGTTTGAGTCCCACGTAGGGCTGGCTCTGTGCTGATGGGGCAGAGCTTACTTGGATCCTCTCTCTCCCTCTCTCTTTGCCCCTCCACCACTCGCATGCACATGCACATGCATACATGCACTCTCACTCTGTCTCTAGCAAAATAAATAAATATGTTTTTTTTTTTAAAAAAGCTTTTTTTGGGGGGCGCCCGGGTGGCTCAGTCGGTTGAGCGTCCGACTTCGGCTCAGGTCATGATCTCGCGGTCCGTGAGTTCGAGCCCCGCGTCGGGCTCTGTGCTGACAGCTCGGAGCCTGGAGCCTGTTTCAGATTCTGTGTCTCCTTCTCTCTCTGACCCTCCCCCATTCATGCTCTGTGTCTCTCTGTCCCAAAAATAAATAAGCTTAAAAAAAATTAAAAAAAAAGCTTTTTTTTTAAAAAAGAAAGTTTCTAAGGGTTAGTGATATGTTATGTATCCATAGTGCTGCAATCGCTTGAATACTGTAGACTATAATAAATGTTTTTAAAATTGCACTACTTACCTCCAAATCTTGCTGTTTTCAAACATAAATTGTTAGTCATAAAAATATGGCATCTTACTGATAGAAATGGAATTTATTCTATAAAGTGTATCACTGAAGAAGAAAACTTGCAATTTGCAGTTTTTACTTAAGATTCTTTTCTAACCCAGGAACATGACAGGTATGAATTTATACATTCTAGAAAAATATTATAAAATTTTTAAATTTCATGTTCAAATGATTACAAAATTTACCTTGTCAACTTTATAATTATTTTATATATTTTATTTATTTATTTATTATAATAATTATTTATAGAAAAATAATTCTATGCTAATTGTCTAAAATTAGTGATTTAAAATAGCTACTTACAATCCAAAGTCCATCATATTTCACTTCTTGATGGAAAATGCTGCATTCATCTGCCCACCAATCTATGCAGTTTGGATTAGTAAAATCAGGGTATACTGTTAATCCTGGCCACACCTAAAAGAATAGATCATTCATATATATACATATATAAAAGGAAAAATAAATAAATAATAACTCAAGGTTATTGAGTAGATAAGAATAGTAAAAAAGCATTAAAGTTATAATATTGTACTTCTTAAGGTTTATGTGATCCATGCACCATTTATATGTATAATAATCTTAGACCTATTTTAAAATGTTTTAAAAAATAAAATAAAATAAAATGCATATAATGAGAGTAAAGTAGAGAGAGAGAGCATAAGGCATTTAGGAAGGCCAAAATATAAGAACATGGGATGAAACTGCTATTTTGCAACTAAATTTATTTCTTAGCATACTAATGGGTTAGGTTAAAAACAAATAAAAACTAGACAATGTATTCATTGTCTGAATAAAAAAAGGTACACGGTTTAATTTCCAAAAGCATTTGTTTCCAAGAAATTCAAGCAAAAAAACTCCTTGTGTATTTATTATTTATTTAACAAATGAGAATATGACATTTGTTTTGTGCTGGGTAATGTTCCGAGCATTTTTATAATTACTAGCTCATTTAATCTTCACTAGAACTACAGAAGATGGGTATTTTTTTAATCACTGCTTTACAGATGAGTTAGTCACTATAATTAAACCCACTTTACAGATGAAAGAAGTGATAAACAGAGAAACTAAATACATTTTTCAAGATCACACCGCTAATAAGTGGTACAGAAGGAATTCAAACACAGCAATCACATATCTGAGTCCAGGCTATTAGACACTACCCATACTATGCTGTCTTTTTATACTTCTTCAAATTATCTGCTCATTACTTAAAGTAATGACAGACTAGAGAAATTCAGTTTCAGATGAATGAAAAAAATAATACTGTTTTATATCCAAAAATATGACTATTGGCTATCCAATCTGTTCACAGCAAATGGAGTAGGTTTAACAGGGTATATTCTGTGAGGTATTAATAGGAATTATGGGAAGAAATTCAGCTTTTGTTTCTGATGGAGCTCATAATTATTTGAATAAGACTTTCACCAGAAATTTTGATATTGATGAATTCAATAAAAAGTGATGGCTAGTATATCTTCATTACAGTAAATAATGCTATAATACATGTTTTTTATACACTGACATTATCTCTTACTTTATTTCCTTTGACTAAATTACAGAAGTGGAATTACCAAGTTAGTGTATCTAGACTTTATAGTTTTTGATATGTCTTAGAAAGCTGTCTTCAAAAGAATATGTGTTCTGGTTAAGATTATGCATTTGGGAACTAGTCATTTTCATAACTCTGTTATTTATTAGCTCTGTGATATTAGGGAAGTTACTATACCTATCTCAAATTCACTTTTTTCACCTATAAAGTAAAAATTCTAGTCATAGGTATGTATCTCATTATTTTACTGTGAGGATTAAATATAAATCATAAAATTTAGTATCCAGCACAAAAGTACTCAATTTATAGAAGTATTTATTTTACATCAAAATATCAGAATTTTTGTAATAATCTAATTATATTGTTAGTTTTGTTTTAATTGTGTATAGCATTGAAATCTATGTCTTCTTACTAAAACTGTTTTAGAGATAGAAATTTTGAAATATTTCCTCTCTAAAATTTCTTTACACAATTAAAATACCAAGTCCATATTTGAAAGCAAATACACACACACACACACACACACACACACACTTACGAAAACTGTCATTACACAACAGAAAATCTAAGCAACACAACTTTAATGAATATCAGAATTTACCTCGCCAATAATTGCTGTAGTCCCATCTGAATCATTTACCCACACATGTCTTGCATTTCCCCTCTCATAGGTGGCATATGCCGTTCCATTGCTTAGCTTATCTATGGAAATTGCGGGATCCTAATAATAGAAAGAAGAAACTATAGAAAATATATTAAGTTACAAATAAGTAAATACTAAAAACATATTAATACATAATGTCATTACCAAGATGATGACATATTTCTGTCCATGGTCGTGCAAATCTTGAACAAATTCAGGGAGGCCTTTAAATGCAACTTTATCATAAGTAAAGTCTTTCTTTGCTTCCATATAGTCAATATCAGTGACCTGTGTATCCTGAAAATTAGTAGAGTATATTTCAATCAATAGTACTGAAAGGACTCTAATCACTTCAACCTTTAAGCCCAATGCTTTATAAATGTAATGATTAAAAGGTAAATGAACTTAGATCTCTTTTATTTTACTAAAAACCATGAAATAGTTTATAAACTAATTTTTCCAATTCTAAAATACAAAAACATTAAGTGATTATTCACATTTTTTTCAGTGATGATCACTGAATAAGTACTATATTTTATATACAGGAATCACTGTATAGAAAACAAAGCCTATATGCTACATAAAATATGTTAAAAAGTATATAGGCAGTAAAAATAATCTATTTTAAAAAACTGAATATGATGTTCACAGTTAAACATGTATTCTAGTATAAATAATAATTAGTTCTTAAAATTTCAAGTATACCTGGCCTTGTGTATAGATTTAAAATATACTTTAACATTAAAACACATCTTAATAATCCACATTTATATTATATAGTATAATATCATGTGTAATGCTGACAATCACATTTATTATTATGTGACAATATTTAACTTGGTATGTAATCCCATAAATCCTTCATCCCACTTACAAATGGTATGCCAGCATCCCGATTTCTTTTTACCACTTCTTTCACTACATCAAGTGACTTATAATTCCAGCGACTCAGCTGGAATCCAAGACTCCAATATACTGGCATTGCGGGTCGTCCAACAAGCTTGAAGTAAATGGATATTTGATTAATTTCAATAAAGAACATTAAAATTATTATTAATATGCTTATTATTCTAATATCTCTGATATTTATTTAACTTAAATTACATATTTTGAACAAAAAATTAGTGTTACCTGCATTCTAAAATGCGTTCTGGATTTTATGTTAGAATTTTATTATAAATTAGTGTGTCGTCACAACAAGAGGACATGACTTTGGAAATACGTGGAAATCCAAGTGTAAGTAATAGTAAATAGTTTTAACTAAAACTGAGTATTAAGTTATAGTACAGTATAGTATAGTATAATAACCTTTTTGGCATAATGATTTTTTTTTAATTTTGGCATACACATACACACACATTCCATGATTTCTCTATCATATATGCATAAAAAACTACAATGTAACAATTTTTAAGTTACTTATATTGGGTTATATATGTAACATAATTTTTCATAAAAGTATGTAAAATATTATTATATGTTATATTAGCTCACATACTATTTATATTACACTCTATACAGAAACATTGTTTTTAAAACTATTCACCAGTCAAATGAATTGCTTTATATTTTAACATATTGAGACCGTAAAAAAAATTGTTTTTCTTCAAACAATAAAGTTTCTTTTGCCTACTCTCTACATAGCTTGTACCTCATTTAAATGCACTGATTAACTATATTACATTCTACACAACTATTGTATCTTATTGCTTAAATACACGCCTTTGGAAGACTGCCCATAAAATGATTTAAAGCAAGTGCACTACTATACTAAATGTATGCTGCATTCATACGCCATGCATAACTCAGACTCAATTCCTGCTGACCACAGACTGTACTCAGCATGTAACAGACAACAATCCTAGCTGGTATTTCACAAATCCCATGTCAAATTCTTTTTAAAAAATGTGCTATCCACAGTTTTGGTGGTGTGGTAACCATATGCAAAGTTGTATAAAGGCCAGCCTAACATTGTAATTATAATTTAGTATTATAAATTGTAAATTTTGTATCCTTTTCTGAAGTTCATATTTATCAATAGCAATTTGGGAATTGTTAGACACTGTAAATTATTTAATTGTGTAAAACTCTACCTACTCTCATATCAGACATTTGGATCCTAATTAAAGAAAAGTTTTTGATAGTAATTACTTCTCCTTTAAGATCATTTTAGCAAATGGGAAATGTATATCAAAATACAAATCAATAAAACAAAATTTTAAAAAGACATAATCTGTAAATCTTAGGCCAATACAAACAATTTATTTTTCCATACTAACACCAAGAATTATGTACCGACATTCACAGGAGAATAACTATATAAAAGAATTATATAAAAGAAATACAGAATTATATTTTAGAAGTAGACTCAGGGTACCCCTGGATTCCTTGTCTGTCTAAGACCCACCTTGGACTTAGGTACATGAAGACATTATTTAATAGGGAAGCAAGAGTTGCTTAGACAGATGACCTAAGACTTCACACTATGTTTCAAAATCTTCTGTTCTAAGCCTGAGCATCAGAGACAATTTTCCTGGAGTTTACCTACTATGCATTAACAGCAAGTTTTACTAGTCTTCCTTATAACTCATTTGCCTCTAGGATTTTTATCAAAGGGGTATATGACCTACACACCCTTGCATATCCTCAGCCTTGAATAGAAAATACTTTCCTCGGCTTTATCCTACCAAAGTAGGTCATGAATAAGTAAAGATTTAATATGCAACATTTCAAAAAAATCCTACTCCTGAACTCAGCTGCCTAGAACCAATAAATAATTTGATATAAGAAATATAGACATATAAATATACATAGTCATCATTGTATAGGAAAGACAAAAACAAAAACCACCTACTCATACCTGAAAATGTTAAGATTTAAAAATATATTTAGCTAAGAGGCCCCAGATATCTTAAATAAAATTAGACATGATGGTTGAAAGAAAAGTATAGTAGAAATTAATTTACTAAAATAGATGTAAAACATACCTCTTGATACTGTTGAACTACTTGTTCTGGTGTATCTCCTAGAAAGATGTAAAAGTCCAGAATTCCGCCAATGACTCTGTAAGTTACTATTGGAGTAGGCTGGATGAAAATTTCTACAAATTAAATTGGAGAAACATATATAACTAGTAAAAATATACACAGTGATAAAATAACTGCAGTGTCTATTTTAAGTACTTCATATTAACCATACATTTTTGCACTGTTTTTAAATAACTAAGGTAAAATAAGATACTAAAGATAGGAAGAATATACGAGAAAAGTAGAACGCCATCATCTATGAGGTTTATGATAGGAAATCACAGCTGTTTCCTTCTACAGATGTTGGCAGAATCTCTCCCTGGAAACTGCATAGCCAGGTAATCAGTCCTTTTATAACAAAATTTTGTTTTCTGAAATTGCATTTCAATTAGTTGTGTTAATTGAAGATTCTCTAAAAGATCATATTCTCACATTAATTTTTAAGAAAAAACTACAGAATTTTTTTTCTCTACATAGACAATAATTGCCTGGATAACCATTTTAATATACTGTTCTCGCTGGGACACTGTTGAATTTTGGAACTTTTTATTATCACTAATTCATATGTTATACATTGGTATTACACTCACAACATTTAAAAAAACATTCTACATTACTTGAATTATGATAAACTCAAAAATTAATCTTCTTCTTTCTCTCCCTATATTATATAGACTTTCCTTTTTTTTTTTTTTTTTGGTTATAGTGGTATGTTAAATTATCTTAACAAGTGAGGCTGTGGGAATGGGAATATTCCTTTCCTTTCCATGGATGTGTTTCACTATTGCTGTGAAAGCTCTGAAGAAAGTGCCTGACTATAATAACATAGTATAGTCTCCGTAAAATAGACACACTTATAAGTAAAATTCCATTGTCTTACTCACTACAAACTCTGCTTGTAATAATTTCATATACTAAATCATTACCAATAGAGTTTACTCTGACATACATTATCTATGATTGGAATAAAGAGAACAGTTCAAACATTTCAAGTTATATCTCATTTAAATATATTACCAGATAAATTATTCTTACCCATTGCATTGCTGTTCATTAAGAAAACACCAAATGACTTTCCAGAAGTATCTTCAATGCACATGAAGAATGTCTGATGACCATATAAATTATTATTATTCTGTAAGGCAAAAATTTGAACATTAATTTTAAAGTATATTTAAAGTAAAAAAGATTATATATTTAACATGGCCTTTATATATTCCAATTAGTTTCTGTAATTTACTCCTCATACTTCTATACTAATTACTATACATACCATATGAAACACTGTGGCAAAAAATTAACCTATTTTGATTATTAATATGTTACTATATAAAATATGTAACATAATATATTCATTATACTATGACTAGATTACTTAACTTTCCTTTATGTTTTATCTGATTGAGTTTTAATTAGCCATTCATGTTAAGAAAATGGCACTTTTATTCATTATGGCCCATGTTATGTCCAAGGCAGGACAGGGAATTCCAAGATGACGTCCAACCTTATAGAACTTCCCCACTACATTTGCTATAAACCAAGGAGTACATGAAATAGCTGAGAACAATTGGGAATACACTTATAAGGCAAAAGAAAAAAGAATTCCTGGCTGATAGGATATGGAAGTTCCAAGAAAAGAATGAATGGAAAATAGCCTGGTGTTTATTAGGTGTTCATTACAGATAGTGATGCTATAAAAACAGACTGGTAGAATCTTTATTAGTAGTAGTTCTGTACCAAATGAGGCTCTTTAAAGCAACCACCATTTATTCACTTTTGGGAATGAAATAGCACTGGCATTTTAAAAGTCACTAACAATTGACTCAAAGCAACCATGAATTAATTAAAAATATTAATTTTTTTATGTTTATTTAATTTTTGAGAGAGAGAGAGAGAGAGAGAGAGAGAGAGGTGGGAGTGAGGGGCAGAGAGAGAAGGAGACACAAAATCTGAAGCAGGCTCCAGGCTCTGAGCTATCAGCACAGAGCCTGATGAGGGGCTTGAACACACAAGCCATGAAATCACGACCTCAGCCGAAGTCAAATGCTTAAATGACTGAGTCACCCAGGCACCCCTAAAAATAATTTTTTAATGATATGGTCTTTGCTCTAAAGAATCTCATTTTAGAATTATATACAAATATATACACAAAGACTAACCTGTAGTGACTGTCATACTAAAATATGAACAAAAGGTTAGAAATAAAGACTAATTCTGCACGGGGGAGTTTGGGAGAAGTTCTTATGAGATTAAAGTTCAAATTATCTCTCAGTGACTTATTGTACAAATGATAAGACCTCAAGTTGCAGTATTTAAAAAGGGAACCAACCCTCTGTGCAAATATATAAACTTATATAAGATTATCATATGTTATGGAAGGGGAAGATGCAGACATAGATGTACAATATGATGTCCAATAAATAGGCAGACACCATATCATACAAAGTGATAGAGAACACAGTAAGTGTTAGAATTATTCTAGCTCAGTGACTAGCCATGTATTGGTTTAAGCATAAGAATGACTGAAAAGGGAATGATAGAATACAAAAATCAAATCAAAAGAAAATATTCATAAAATAGATATACCTATTTGAACTAAAATCTGTTGGTTACTTTTTGAGTTAATTTGAGACTACTACAAATCATCACCCCTGAAGTAAACAAGCTCCTGTATTAGGTATCACTGACATACAATAAATGATGGCTTCAAATAGGGTAACATTATCACCTGCTCCAATATAATGATTTTATTTACATAAAAAAAAAAAAAAAAAAAAAAAAAAAAAAAAAAAAAAAAAAAAAAAAAAGAGTTCCTTACGTCACCAGGAAGTTGATCCCGGGTAAAAATTGGCCATGTTTTCCAGTTTAAATCGTGACGAAATCTCTTATGAATATGTTCCCCAATGCCATAAATATATTCACTGGAAAGTCTGGTTGAAATCTGTAAATACTGGTCAGAGTACACCAAAGGACCAATGCTGGTGTCAAACCTGTACAATAAAATAAATAAATAAATGATCTAGAAACAAATAAAATGTTCTACCAAATAAGGATCTATGTTACCATGCTGAATATTTCACTTTAAATATGTCAATCTTTAGCTGTGATCACTTCTTAGGAATATATGAATTATACCATAAACAGAATTTGTTAATTCCATCAACACAATTTGCTTCATCACCACCAATATGATTCTCCATATACATCCTCTCCTTTAATCATCACAAACTTGAAGTGTAACTACCAGTATCAGTTCCATTCTACAAATAACACAAATTGGGAAAATTATGTCCTGTGTTCTAAGGTGACAAACTTGTAACTAGCAAAGCCAGATTTCAAACCCAGTTCTGCCTTGCTCCAGAGACACTATTTTAAAATATAGTACTAAACTAGCTTTCACACCTCTAACACATATATTAAAGTTAGGTTCAAAATAATTTTTCCAAAATTAAGAAGATTGTATGTTTGATTCATATCAAATATATCCTACAAGAAATGTTAAATGCATTTAATACTTTTGTGACAATTAACAATCATTGTGTCAATTGCAAATCATTAAAATATATTTAAGGAAAGTAACTGCTGAGATTTAATTTGACAATTGCTCAGTTAACCTTTTTAATTTAATGTTTATTTTATTTTTGTGAGAGAGAGAGAGAGAGAGGGTGAGGGGCAGAGACAGAGAGGAAGACAGAGGATCCAAAGCAGGCTCTGCACTGACAGCAGAAAGCCCGATGTGGTGCTCGAACTCACGAACTGTGAGATGGTGACCTGAGGCAAAGTCAGAGCTTAACTGAGCCACCCAGGCACCCTGCTCAATTAACCTTCTTAGAGATGTGAGGTATCTCAAAAATTGCTAAATCCCTTGCTGCAAATATCCCCCCAAATTCATTCATAATGAAAGCATTCAGGCAATATTTAATTAAGTATATACATTTTCATACACATTATTTCACACATATGTATTTTTTCATATATATATATATGAAGTCCTTTAATATGACTATGGGAATTAGCCCCTTCTGAATAACTATTTGATTCTAAAAATTGGCAACAGAATATGATAAACAATGGGGAAAGGACAAAACAGGAGTTCTAGCTATGCAAAAATACAGGGAAAGCTAAAATGCTTTTCGGTGATGCTCTTTACCTTCATCTTTGATTGGCCCTAGTTTGTACATTTTCATTCACCTTTGTAACTTTCATCCACAGGAAATAAAACTGCTTTACATTATAGTCTTTACAAGGATGCACATCCACCCATTTGGGAGGAAATTTATTCTTTCTGAAAAAGCCTTAAAATTAAACTTTTCCTAATTCTATAACAGAATACAATTGACTGGTTATTTAACCTTAGAGAAATGTAAAATAAGATACTTACAAAATTCTATTATTGCTTTTTCTAATAACTTTGATGCTAAATGGATTTTCTACAACCTGCACGTCATACAATGTGTTAGAAGCTGTGGTACCAGTAAATTCTTTTACAAACTGATGAGGAACTTCATATCTTCTATTATTTGGATCAGTTATCTGTAAAGATTAAACAATTAGCATCATTTGATTCAAAACCATTATTTCATCTTCCAATTCAAAATTAAGTATCAAATGCAAGTTTTGAATAAAAAATACTAAATTTAGTAACTTAACAGAGGAACTATTAATCTGGCCATAAACTTAATTCTAACGTTGTTGTATGGTTATGCACAAATTGTATACATTGTTAAGGAATATAGAATTGGTCATAAAAGTACCGTATATAATAAAAATATTTTTGGCTGTTAAAAATATATATTAATTATATAATATAATATTAATATATTAATATATATTAATGATAGTATTACTAAATATTGATTCTTGAATACTGTATCTTTGTGAATTTAATTATTCTTATTGCTTTTTAGTATTCATCTCCTTAGAAATCCCATGAAGAATTTTATATTTGGTTAAAAAAAATACTTAATTCTTGTGAAATTGCTGAAAAAGTAGTGTACAAAGAATATGGTGTTGTTTTCATTTCCAAATCCAAAAGATCCAAAATTCAAGTAAACTACTCACTTACAAAATAATAGGAATTAGTTTCTTTAAAATCATGAATAATAGGGATACCTGTAAAAAGAACTAGTAAGTATAAGTCACATGTATACACCACAATTAACATGTTTCTCAAATTAAATTTTAAACTAATCCTTCATCATAGTCTATGGTTGAAGTAATAAAAACTGCTAAAGTTTATTGAGTGTTTACTCTTCTCAAGACACTGTATCCAATATTTTACATTGACTGTATTATGAAATTTTTCAAAAAGGACTGCCAGAGAAACTATTCTTATGATACATTTCAGTAAACAGGCTCAGAGAACTGAAATAACTAGTCCAATTAGTCCTTTGCTTTGGAATAAGTATTTCTTAAGAGAGAAAATGTCTTGGTAAGATGAAGAATGTGCTCATAACTTCCTTTTATGATTAATTCCTCTTTATAAATATCAAAAAACAAACCTTAAATCGGAAACGATTGGGTGTCTGATTTTGAGTTGTGATAAGAACACTAGTAATGTCATTTCCAAAGAGCGTAGGTGAAGGTTTCCTGTTTAATTTGGCTTCAAGCCCTTAAAGGAAGAAAAAAAGTTGGTGCGAGTGATTTTATTTATAAAGAGTAATAATTATTAAATATTTTTCATATTTTTATAATTATATTTCCTTTATTACAAATAATGACTTCTTTTATTATTTGGAAGATACAATCTTGCAAAAATAAAATCCTTGATCTAACATATTTTAACATTCTTGCATACAAATTTCCCACTTGATTCTATTTAAGATATTTTCCCAAAGAAAAATTTAAAATATATTTCTTGTTTTCCAATTAAAATATATTATATTGGATCACCATGATGGAACATTTCTCACCAATACTTGTTGTTATCATTCTCTCAACATTATAGCCATGATTATCTGCGAAGAAGCACCAAGGAATAAGAGAGTCATTCCATGGCTTCCAGCAGCAGCCTCTCTCTGAGCAAACTGCCTGTTAAAACATTTATAAAAGGAATCATATCATATGATTAGTACTGTTACCATGTGTTAATACCTAGTTTTTAAACATCCATTCCAATAAATGTTTGAATTAAATGCCTGGAAAACAAGCTTATTTCTTCAAGAATACCGTGTGTTAAAAGAGCATGTATTCTCAGGGCACCTGGGTGGCTCACTTGGTTAAGCATCAGATTTCAGCTCAGATCATGATCCCACAGTTCTAAGGTCAAGCCCCGCGTTGGGCTCTGTGCTGGCAGCTCAGAGCCTGAACCCTGTTTCAGATTCTGTGTCTCCCTCTCTCTCTGCCCCTTCCCTGCTCATCATGTTCTGTCTCTGTCTCTCTCTCTCAAAACTAAGTAAACATTAAAAAAATTAAACAAAATCATCTATTCTCTTGTTCCTTTCACTTGGCAGAAATATAAATATTTGATAATGTGAATTAATTACACCCTATCAGAAATTGATACTCTGAGTTGTGATTTATCAAATTTACATATCTGTGCACATTATTGTAAACTTATGTTTTTCTTTATGTCTTTGATTTTAATTTTTTTTATTTGAATATACTGCTCAAAGCAATCTACAGTTTGAATATAATCTCTATCAAAATACCAACAACATCTTTCACAGAGCCAGAACAAATAATACTAAAATTGGGATGGTACCACAAAAGACACCAAGTAGCCAAAGTAATCTTGAGAAAGAACAAAGCTGAAGGTATCACAATCCCAGATTCCAAGATCTACTACTACTAAGCCTATGTTTTTTTAAAAGTCTGCCCTATGAGTAATTATAATGTATTCTGTTGTCACATAGTCAATACAGAAGAACTGAAATATTTTTGACTATCAATTATGTATCAAGCTACAAGTGAGTGTATAAAGATGAAGACATGGCCCTGAATTCAAGCCTACATAACATGTTTAAGGCAGTTATTTACAGCCACTTGTTAGTTTAATATTTTAAGTAAATAATTAAACTAATTTATGTGCCAGGTTGTAACTAGTTGTAGCCATTATATCCAAAGAATAAAGCAAAACACTGAGCTCCTGAGTAGTTTTATGATCTGTATGGAAAGATTACATGAAGTGGAAAAAACTATATATGCTTATGTAAAAAGTTGAGGCACATGGCAATTCTGTGTGTTAACATTGGTATAATTAAAAATCTACTTAATATTTAAATTTAATAGTGTTACACACTTTCATAATTTGAGCATCTGTGTGTTTTTTTTTCTTGCCTATTTGTCTTGAAAATAGTTTAAAGCTACTCTTTCAGAGGCTGACATATTAACTTATCTCCTACTTTAACATCAAATTAAACTGGCTTCAGATACACATACACATGCACACACACAAGTACAAACATACATACATGTACCTTGAAAATGGAAGTACAATTTGACCTGATATTTTAGGGGTTCATTACCTATCAGGATCTAAAGTATGTGTGACTTCTGATCAGGTAATTTTCCCTCTAGTTATAGAACTTATAGAAGTACTCCCAGCAATAGAAAGAGATAATTACACACACAAAAAAATTGTCATTTATGGTAATCTTTACAAAAAGCTCTTTAAATGTTGGTACAAAACTTAGAGGTAGAACTAAACATAGAGAAATGGATTTGGGAAGGTGTAAAGCTGTTAAGAAAATATAAATAAGCAAACTATAATCACATTTTGCTAAAATAAAAAAAAATATAGTAAAATGGAGTTACATGAAGTTCTTCCAAACATACTATATTTGGGTCCTAGGGCTGTTCTAATAGGATTGTCTGAATGAACAGAAATTTATTCTCTCACAGTTCTGGAATCTAGAAGTCCTACTTCAAGGTGCTAGCAGAACCATGCTCTGTCCAAGGCTCTAGGAAAGACTGCTTCCTTGTCTAGTCATAGCTTCTGATGGCTCCTGGAAAGTCGGCATTTTTTGATTTGAAGACACCATACTCAAATCTGTACTTCCATCTTCACACTGCCTTCTTCCCTGTGGTTCTCTGTATGTCATCCCCTTCTCTTGAAGGGACACCAGTCATTGGATTTAGGACCCACCCAAATCGCAAGATTTCATTCAGCATATAATTACATCTGCAAAGATCTTATTTCCAAGTAATGTTTATTTTGAGAAAGAGAGGGACAGAGACAGAAAGTGGCAGGAGGGGCAGAGAGAGAGAAGAGAGGGAATCCCAAGCAGGCTATGTGCTGTCCATGCAGAGCCTGATGCAGGGCTTGATCCCATGAATCACAAAATCATGAGCTGAGCCAAAATCAAGAGTTGGATGCTTAACTGACTGAGCCACTAGGCTCAAATAAAGTCATATTATAAGGCTCCAAGTAGACATGAATTTGTAGAGGGCATATCATTCATACCACTACATATACACAGCAAAATACTAGTTCAAAACTGTATATACTCATTGTTTTAAAAAAGCTTTTTTAATGTTTATTTATTTTTGAGAGAGACAGAGACAGAATGTGAGTGGGTTAGGGGCAGAGAGAGAGGGAGACACAGAATCCGAAGCAGGCTCCAGGCCCCGAGCTGTCAGCACAGAGCCCGACGCGGGGCTTGAACTCACGAGCTGTGATATCATGACCTGAGCTGAAGTCGGACACTCAACCGACTGAGCCACCCAGGCGTCCCAATCCTCATTGTTTTTAAAATATGGATAATTTTTGTTTATCTTTAGAGATTTTGATAATTATTATTTATGTTTAGTCATTCTGCCTATTTTTCAAGATTACAGGCATTTTCCCCTATTATTGTAATAGTGTTTAAAAAGCTACTTCTTGTTTTTATTTAAATTCCAGTTAGGCTTAATAATCTATATATAATTAATTTTATGATGTGAGCTCAGTCATTCTCAATTAGTCACTTCTGATATCTTTGTAAACTCTTGAGTTAAAAGAACCCCTTCCAGGAGCCTGGGTGGCTCACTTAAAGCGTCCGACTTCGGCTCAGGTCACCATCTCATGGTTCATGAGTTTGAGCCCCAAGTTGGGCTCTGTGCTGACAGCTCAGAGCCTGGAGCCTGCTTCAGATTCTGTGCCCCGTCCCCGCCCTCCCCTGCTTGCACGCTCTGTCTCTCTCAAAAATAAATAAACATTAAAAATTTTTTTTAAAGAACCCCTTCCAGAATTGTTAATGACATGAAAGTAACTGGATATTTGCAGTATCATTCTTTTTGCTCAGGAGAAACAGATGAGGCAAGAACACAATAGTGAATGATCCCATGAAGACTTGTTCCTGTTTAAGTGAGCTAGCTGCTTAGGACAGCCGCTGGGAAGGAACAGGTGCTCATAATAATGTCTAATATTTGAGTGCTTTCAGTGCATTACATGTTTAGTCCCTTCAAGAACTCTATGAGACAGGGGTGCTTGGGTGTCCCAGTCAGTTGAGTGTCCAACTCTCGATTTCAGCTCAGGTCATGATCTCCTGTTTCATAGGACTAAGCCACATGACTGGCTTTGCACTGACAGTGTGGAGCCTGTTTGGGATTCTCTCTCTCCCCTTCTCTGTTCCATCCCTGCTCATTCTCTCTCTCTCTCTCTCTCTCTCTCTCTCTTCTCAAAACAAATAAACTTGATAAAAATTAAATAAAATCCAGTTAGTTAACATAACGCAGAGTATTAGTTTCAGGTGTACAACATAGTCCACACTTCCATAAAATACCTGGGGCTTATCACAAGTACCCTCCTTAATCCCCATCACCTATTTAAGCCCCACCCCCCCACACACACACCTCCCCTCTTGTAACCATCAGTTTGTTCTCTATAGTTAAGAATCTGTTTCTTGGTTTGCCTCTCTCTCTTTTTCCCCTTTGCTCATTTGTTTTGTTTCTCAAATTCCACATAGGAGTGAATTTCAATTTTCTTTTTTCTTAATTGGAAAAAGCAAAAAATTAAAACACATTAAATACCCATCAATAGTCATTAACTTTGGTGGATGAAAATACAATAAATTTGTTTTTTTCTTATTTTTATTATATGTGTGTTAGTATACATATAGAACTACATGTAATAATATTGTTATTATTATAGTTAAAGCAATTGATTGTTTTATGGACTGAACTGTGTCCCCCAACAATTCTTAGGTAGGAAGCCTTAATCCCTGACCCCTTATATGACTGTATTTGGAGATAGGGCCTTCAAGGAGGTAATTAAGGTTAAATGAAGACATAAAGCTGGGATGCAAATCTGAAAGGATTGGTGCTCTCATAAAAAGAGGAAGAGATGCCAGAGCATGGTCACATATATACTCTCTCTCTCCTTCTGTGCATGCACAAAGGAAAGACCAAATGAAGATACAAGAATCCAGCTGTCTACAAAGCAGGATGAGATGTCTCGCTAGAAACCAACGCTGGTAGCATCATGACTTCTAGTCTCCAGAACAGAAAGTAAATGTCTATTATTTAAGCCACTCAGCCTGGCATTTTATTATAGAAGCCCAGGCTGATTAATACATTCTGGGTAGAATTATAGCTGCTGTTAAAATAAGTTCACCTTCTTTTCTTAAATGACAAATACTTGTTAGCTGAAATTTGTTAAATTCGTAAGTTTAATTTGTTTCACATTGAAAACACTCTTTAGCAACCTTACAGGCTGACAGTAAAAACTAATAGTAGCCATCAAAACCTTAAACAATTAGCTTTTAAATATTGTTTCCCTGGAGCACTGGATGTTATATGTAAGTGATGAATCAGCAAAATCTACTCCGGAAACCAATATTACACTGTGTGTTAAGTAACTAGAATTTAACTAAAAACTTAACATATAATAATTAAATAATAAATTATAAGTAAATACAGCCTTCAAACTAAATAAATAAAATAAAATAATTAATGTCATTTCCCTTTAAGATCTTAGCAGGCCATATTGTCCCTAATAGAATTCCATGTTAAGCTTCAATTGTTCCCTAAGAAGAATACACCTAAAGAGAATATCTGGCCAATTATCTTAGTGTGTCACAGTAAACACTATTTATCCAGCTCTATTATCATTAGGTAAACTATAAAGACTAACTGTTCCTAATACTGTCCTAAGAAAAATCTCATCCATTTGCTACTTTTCATAGCAAATATTAAAAAATTATGTGGTAACTATGAGGTAGCTTAGGTTAAGGCTAATAGAAAAATTTATAGTTCATTTACTTAATCTGCTTGTGATGAAAAGAGTGAGAGAGGTGAGATTCAGATATGTCTATTACAGATAACATATATTATAGATCTGCATATCTGCATATTACATGCATATAATAGATAAATAATATACTATTGATATGCATATTACATTAACATATATAATATAATAATATATAATATATAATTAATATATATTTACATTATGTGGGTATTATAGATTACATAGATATTGCAAATTGTGAACACACACACATTCACACACAAACACACACCTTCACTGACCTTTATTCTCATAGGTTATGAAGACTAGGAAGAGTCAACTCAGGGTTACATGAATCCATTAAGTTACCCTTAATTTTCTCCATTTGGGCTTCTCCCAAACTACCAAATAATTAAAAAATAATAATTTTCCAAAATATCATATTACTTTATTTTCCACAGACAATTCTTGTTTTTAATTGTTTTTAATGTTTATTTATTTTTGAGAGCTAGCAAAAGAGAGAGAGAGAGAGAGAGAGAGAGAACGCGCAAATGGGGGAAGGGCAGAGACAGGAAAACACAGAAGCAGAAGCAGGATCCAGGCTCCAAGCTGTCAGTACAGAGCCCGATGCCTGGCTCGAACTCACAAACTGTGAGATCATGATCCGAGCAGCAGTCAGATGCTTAATGGACTGAGCCACCCAGGCACCATTTCCACAGACAATTCTTAATGCCATCATTACAAATACTTTTATGGAGCATTCATTTTCTCTCATATTCTCTCTCTCTCTCTCTCATACTCTCAAAGGTTACAATTTTTTTAAGAAGTAGATTTGCAAGAATAGATTTCATAAAGGTTTTTAAAATTAACAATAGGTTGTTAAGCATGAAAAATATTAAGTTGTGAATTTAAATTGAATAGAAGTACAGGAAAGCAAGCTCAGTAATTTCTGTTATTTCTCATCTCTTTATACAGAGCTACAAGAAAAAGATAAATGTAGCCCAATTGATGGCTAGATCTTTAAAAATATGGTATTGATCCGATATTGAGCAATTATCTTAATATACTTACTATAATATATATCTATTTATAAAAAGCATTAAAGTCTTTTGTTGCAGACCTTTGTTGGTAATTGATCTGGAATGCAATTTATTCTCTCATTGATAGGATCATTTAGCTCACTTGGACACTTTCCTGAACCGGGAAACACAGTGGTTGTACGAGTGGTAGGTGGGCTTGAAGTAGAATTACTAATCGCTAGGAAATAGAGAGGTCAATAAAATAAAACACTGTGTTAAATTAATATTTTCATATTGTGGGAGTAATAAATACCTTACATTGTAAGAACAACTAAATTTATATATAATAAAAATAAAAATAAATTTTACATTAATAAAAAACTGACACTTTCAAGTCCTGGTTACCAAAGGAAGATATCCAAATGGTATTTAAAAATTGTGCAGAGCCCTAACTGAGTGTTTTTGTAGAAAACCAAAATATTTTCACAGAAGGTCTTGAGGTAGATTCAAAAGGAAACAAAATGTACATTCCACCATATTTACAAAAAAATGTGTTTTAGAGATGAAGAAAGAAGATGGAGAAATATGGATGGGAGAAGGAAATAGAGAAAGAGACAAGAATTACTGCAGAAGAGAGAAAGGTAAGAGGGAGAAAACACGTTGGAGTGGACAGAAGAGAAAGCAGGGCACAGCAAAGAAAAGTAAATCCCAATTCTATATAAGACCTTTCCAGTAATCAGATATGGGTAACAAAATTGGTTACTTCACAAAGTAGTGAGTTTGCAGTATACTAGAAAAAAGTAAAACAAATGACTAAGAGCAGTAGAAAATTAACTATGGTTAGACTAGAAGATACTTTGAAACATTATCATTTCCAGTCCTGATTTGGTCTAGAGAGAATGATGAAAAAGGGAAAGCAGGTGAGGTGGATAGGAGTAGTATGCATTTACTCTAAATGAGGATAGAAATATTCAGAAAAAAAATAGATAAACTTTTCAAGCTTTGTTTCACCTTCCCTCTATCCTTTGTTATACATCCTCTCTCCTTTAAAAAAAAACAAAAACAAAAAACAAAAAACAAAACTGAGCCTAAAATAAAGAGGGAAGTCCCATAGATTTTCCACCCCCCACCCCCACTTTTCCAAGTATCTGAAGGCCAGAGCAAAAACCTAGGTATTTCCATTAATTAGAAGAACCTCACTAAAAACAGTAGATGATTATTCCTCCTCCTTCCATTAACACCTTGATCCCTTTGCCTCGTCACTATTCCTCAAGCAACACAACGTGGGGAAGGTTATTAATGTCAAAGCAGATAGATTCCTTAATTACAACAGCTCTTAACTAAAATAACTGTAATAGATAGAAAAAACTGGAGTAATTATGTAACTTGCCAGAGATCTTTCTTAACATTTCATCTCATGTAGATAACTTTTAAAAACCTATAACTAATATGGAATAAAGTTTCTTTAACTTCACTATAATGTGTAAGTATTTTTTAACATTACTTACCTTCAACAGCAGGTGTCCTAGTTGCTAAAACAGCAATTAGGGCAATAGCTATTATAGTAACTATAGCAAAAAGGACAATCAGAGAGATTTCTAATCCAGAAAATTTCTTCCTTGCCATCTAAAGAAAGAAAAGAAATATATGTTTAAAATGTAAAATATGTACTTACAGTACACCACCATCATTATCATTAAAGTATATACATTCCTCTTTTTTTAGCTACAACACAAGCAGAGCTGCAGACGGCTCTGTTTATAATCTAAATAAATATTGGCAAAAATGTAAACAACACTTGCAATTTTTAATAAACTGAGTGGATTTGTGGTACACATTGTGGTAACTAAGATGAAACATAAGTAGTGGAAAAGCGAAGCAAAGATCTTTCAGCAGATGTGCCTTGCTCTCTCATTTTAGGGCCTTTCTCAAGTGAAAGAAACCTACCACTTGCACTGTGTTCCCTACTTCTCACAATTTTAGGAAGGAGATGATGTTATCCACATTTTGCTTCTTAGCAACTTCAAGCTTAGAGAAAATAAGTTATTGTCTCTCAAAGTCAAAATGATTTTTAACCATAGTTAATACAATTGGATCTCAATTTCAATACTGCTTTCTTATAACAATACTGTGGAAAAGAATATAAATATATTTGGAAAGAATATACATATGAATATAAATATAAAATATTGTGAAAAATTATATATGTATACAGTATATATTTGAGAGATGTCATTTAAAAAAAGGTTTGAACTGCATGATCTCCAAGTTCCTCCCTCAAAATGAAAATAAAATATACTAAACTCTTGTATCAAACACAAGAGGTGTTTGTGAAAAAAAGCACAAAAGGTGCTTATTTTCTGATAACATAATACATTTCAGTTTGTATACAGAGGATACTTAAATGTAGATTGGGAAGAGCTTTTTTTTCCAGCGATTATCTTAAATTTTATTTGTTTAGTTTAGTTTTGACCATACATCTCTCATCTCTCTTAGTCTTCAAGTTTCCCTGACTTTTCTGTATTCTACGATTTTTTATATAAATCTTATTCAATGGCATATACCCAGGTGGGAATTTAGAATTTCCATGGTAAATGCTTTAATAAATTGCAGATATTATTTTTCTTAGATTTTATTTAAATTTTAGTTACTTAACATACATTATAATATTAGTTTCAGTTGTGCAATATAATGATTATAAATTGCTGATTTTAAAATAAAACTTTTGGCCTCTCACCCTAGCCTCTTCTGTAATTATCTAGATCAGTTCATATCCAGTTGCCCCAACCTAAAAACTTCTTTCATTCATTCATTCAAAAGGCCTCTTGGTTCTACCTCCAAAATATTTTCAGAATTATACCTTCATCTTAACTCCAACACTGCAACATCTTTTTTGTATAACATATCTTCTTAGTACATGTTGTTTAGTCTTTCTTCAATCCTTCCATATCTGCTTTTCTAGGTCACTTCCAATTTATGCCAGTTCAAATGCCATGTCCTTTGTGAGTTCTTTCCTACTCTTAGAGGCAGAGTTAATCCATCCTTTTTTCCATTTTACCATATTACATAGCATATCTACTGCCCTTCTTTATACATATGTCAATTTCCTTAATTGTATTGCTCTATTCTTACTAGCAATAATCATGAAAGTAGTTCAGAGCCTGACATCAAGTAAGCACAATTCATTTTTTAAACTGCACCTTATGAATGAATGTTTAAAGATTAGCATTCAATTTTATTTTATTTTTTTTATATATGAAATTTATTGTCAAATTGGTTTCCATACAACACCCAGTGCTCATCCCAAAAGGTGCCCTCCTCAATACCCATCACCCACCCTCTCCTCCCTCCCACCCCCATCAACCCTCAGTTTGTTCTCAGGTTTTAACAGTCTCTTATGCTTTGGCTCTCTCCCACTCTAACCTCTTTTTTTTTCTTTTTTTTTTTCTTTTTTCCTCCCCCTCCCCCATGGGTTCCTGTTAAGTTTCTCAGGATCCACATAAGAGTGAAACCATATGGTATCTGTCTTTCTCTGTATGGCTTATTTCACTTAGCATCACACTCTCCAGTTCCATCCACGTTGCTACAAAAGGCCGTATTTCATTTTTTCTCATTGCCACGTAGTATTAGCATTCAATTTTAACATATGATTTCCTATTACACATATGTAAGCTGTTTATTGTATCTGTAATCTTCAAAGAACCCAAATGTAAACTAGACTTAATCAAAGTGACAGAGGATATAGGAGGTTGTTGAGAAAATGAAACCCAACTGCTCAATGTTATGTGAGAAAGGACACAGTTGCATTTAATGTTTAACTTCAGATAAGTTTGTCTCACTCAAAGTAATATCTTACTTTGGTATCAAGAAGCCAATAAGGATTGTGCTTTTCTTTTTTAAGAAAAGTCTAGAAACAAAAATGCATATTGTTATGAAGCAGACCCTCTTTTATCTAGAAGAATAAGAACAAAATTAATGTATTAAAATTAAATTACTCATGTGAGTACTCATAAACAATCAGTACTAAAATTGTTCATGTGCTGTAGGTGGTAATTACATTGATCACATTTTGGATCACAGCAATTTTAAGCAAAACACTTTTCGGGAAATTATATATTGATGTCCTTTCTGTGTAAATTTATTTTAAAAATGAGTAATACTTTACTAGATGGTAGTTTAATGACTTTGTAAAAAATATTTGCTAGAAAAGATTAAATGTTTTTTAACTGTAGCATTCTACTCCACCTATACATATTTTCTTAAATAAAATACATTTAGTCATACTTAGAGTATTTCTACATATTTTAAGATATGTTTTGATTCTTACTTTTTTCTATATGAAGTAGTTAAACAAAACTTGCTTTGATTCACTTATAATGAAGAGCTGGGGAAAGAAAATATTCTCATATCTTAAAAAAATTTAAAAATGTTTTCTCCTGTTTTAGTACAAAGACTATATATTTAAAATGGCAAATGAAAATAAGCTGTCTTTTCTCTTTTAAAGAAGTACAAATAGACAGGAATATTGCTAACATGAATTAAAGGAATACATAATTACTTAGAAACATGAAAGTAATGAAGAAATATGATCCATAAACGTACCTTATTTCATAGCCTGTTCTGTTCACTATGCCGTACCAGAGCTGGGTAAGGCTGCAAAAGTTATGATCAAGGAAACTGCTCAGATATATATGGAGCTACTCATAAAGTTTTATTGCACCTTCACCAGCCTGTCAGCATTTAATAAACTTCAACACGCGTCAAAAAAAAACCTTAACCCTGAAAATAGTTGCATAAATAATTCTGTATAGGAATCTCAGTTAATTAATAATTGTGCCCTCAGATATTCTTTGATTCCTGAAGCTATGAACTAGCCCAAGAACATAAAAGTGTTTATTTATATTGTTCTTTTTTCATAATTTTATTTCTTTCACTATTTAGATATTGTTTGAATAACTGTCTTATCTAATTGTGTGAAATTTAAACTATTACTAAAACGTAGAAACATATTGGTAAGGTAGATCTGGAAAACATTTGCAGGAACTAACAATTAGAAGATAATATTTAATGGAAGATAAATAAAATAGATATAAAATAGAAGATAATATAAAAAGAAATGATTAAATAAAAGTTATTTCCTGTGTCTCATTATTAACTTTAAGGTTGAAAGACTGAGCCAATCTGTAAGACTAAAATGTAAAAGTAGAGATATATAAATAAGTAATTCAGAAATAAAATCAAAATTTTATCTATATTTTTATTTATAGCACAAATTTAATTATCAAAAATTATATTGTAAACAGCATTTCATACAGTAAAATTATAGTATCAATTACATTACTTGTTTAAGTTAGTATAGTGTTTAGGAGCAAAGGATTTAATATAAGAGACCTGGTTCCAAACGCCAGCTGTACTACATATTCCTAAGAAACTGTGGGCAAATCTGTTAATGTTTTTAAGCCTAAACCTCTTTACAATGAGGAAATAAAAATATCTACCCAAAGAGTCATTGTGAGATTTATATGCACTAACATAATCTATTAACATTATTGCAGCTCTGTCATCAGAGATTACAATTTGAAGTGCTTAGTGTCTGAGTTCTGCACACGATCTTGGCACTATCTTTTCAAAGGAATATATATTAAAATAATGTGGTCACACAAAGTACAGTTACTGGTTTTTTTAGACAATCTGAATAGGAGTAAAAGAAGTGAATACATGGATTACTGTCAAGACTCAGGGGGAATATAAAGGAGAACTTCCAATATATAAAGAGCAGTGATATGGAAATAACATTAGAATCATTCTAGATTGTCTCAGTGGGCAGAAGTCCAATGTAATAGAAATTATGAGTGATTTACTCTCTACTCACATAGCACACAATTATGCATGTGGAAAAGTCATTCAAAATACTGAATTAGAGTCAGGATGTGAGTGTAGCAAGGTCACAGAATATAAAGTCAATGTACAAAAGTCAATCATGTTCTACATAACAGTAATTGCAAACTGAAACTTAATATATTACATATAAATATATTTTTTTATATTTTTAGATTTTTTTATCTAAAAAAATATATATAAAGAGAAATATATATAGAGAGAGATATATATCTAACATATATCTTTATAGATATAAATGGATAGATAGATAATTTATGATAGCATGAAAAATTAATATTTAGGTATAAATCTAACAAATATATGCAGACTATTCTGAAAACAACAAAATGTTGATAAAAGAAGTTTAAGATCTAAATAAATGGAGAAATAAACTGTATTCATGGATTAGAAAACTGAAAATTATTAAACTGTTTATTCTTCATAATTAGATCTACATATTCAATATAATATCAATAAAAATCTCAGGAAATAAATATAGATAAATTGATTATAAATTTTCTACATCAATGTTTATAGAAGCTTTATAATTTCCCCAACCTGGACACAACTAAGGTGCCCATCAATACCTGGCATACTACTCAGGAACAGAAGTTATGAATACTGATTCATGCAACTATATGGATCAATCCTAAAATTCAGGTTAGTTGTTTTCTCTGCAATTTAAATTTTCTTTTTTTTTTTTTTTTAATTTTTTTTCAACGTTTATTTATTTTTTTTGGGACAGA